CAAACAAACAAAACAAACACTTGGCCTGTGCGTCGCCCCGGCCGGCCTGTGGCCGCCCGTCGCCGCACCACTTGTGGTCACGATTCTCTTCGCGCGAGGCTCGCACGTTGCACTACCCTGAACTGCTTTGCACTGCCTTGCATTGCATTGCGTTGCATTGCTTTGCATTGCTTCGCATTCGAAGATTTCCACCACACGGCTTTCACCACAAAGACTCTCCATTCCAGAGAGGAGGATAGACTCTGCCAGCCCCCCGAGGCCAGGACTGTCGGCACCCATTGGGACATTTCAACTTACAAACGGTTCTGCCCCATCGCTCACTCTGCATATGAACTCATACCATCCCAGGGGGATACCCATATCGCCGCCCCTTCATCTTTGTCAAATAACTCTGTGGGCATACCCTCGTTTATCAAAAAGATGAATTGCCAATAATCGTGCAGAGCAAGAAGGGGTGGGATGATTTCGCGAGCAGTGGAGTTGACAATTTCAGGGTCCGCAAAGTGAATTGCACCACTTAGATTGCACTGCATAGCTCACACCAAATAGATCGCACCACATGGATGGCACCACATAGCTTACGCCACATAGCCCACATCACATAGATGAGTAGCGCTGACTCCTAACACGTGGCTTGCACCGCGTAGCTTGCACCACATAGCTCAAACCACAGAACCTGCACAACATAGCACGCACAACTTAGATTACATATATTGCACCACGTAGATTGCACCATATAGGTTCCATCACATAGTTTGCACCACATAGCTTCCACACCCTACTACTGCATCACCTGGTATGTTAGAACACGCTGTGTGGGGTCCACGATGGCTAGTTTTCGCGTTCCTGGTGCATCGAGGCTGCAATCATGGCCGAGGGCAGCACCGAAAGTACAGCTCAAGACAAGGATCATAAGTATGATGAGTGGTCAATACCCAACTCAGACCTGTGCGCGTCCCCAGAGAGGCGCTGTTGACGCTCTATATTCAAAAAACTCCCACGGAGCACCAACTGGCAGGGCCACCCTGTGGGTGGCACCCGTACCCGCTGCACGCCATCATTGGCCAGGGACCGCACATCCACAACAAGTATTTTTTTATTCAGAGCGACAATGAACGGGGACAGCGCGAACGCGTGGACAGCAACAGCAACAGCATGGAGAGGGAAGCAGGCAGCAGGGAGGAAAGGGGAGGAGCAAAGAGCAGCAGGGAGAGAGGCAGGACAGCGAGCGAGAGAGGAGGCAGCAGAGCAGGAGGGAGGAGGACCCCAGCAAGCACCAAGCAGCAGCAGCAGCAGCAGCAGCAGCAGCAGCAGCAGAAGGGGGACGGGAGGAAGAGGAACTGCCGGCCAAGTGAAACACTGGAGTGGTATTGAGACGCGCGGGTCGCCTGCCCCGCAGGAGAACGCGGCCGCATCCAAAGGTGACCCAAGCCACTATCCATCCCATGTACACCCTGCCATCTCCTCCATCTCCATAGACGGGGCCCTCTCCATCCCTTGTACACCCTGCCAGGATGCACGCCCCCCGCTCTTCCCTGCTGCACAGACGTTCCCAGGCAAACCCGAGGTAACTTCTGGCAGTGCCGGGACCTCGACGGGGTCGGGACGGCCTAACAGTTCTTCCTGCACAGAGCAGGGGATCGACAGGACGAACAAAACGACAGAGCACAGATTGCCGCCGATGCAGGGTGCCTGTCCCAGGGCGGAAGGGACGCTAGACCCCGCGGCAGGACCACCCCGATACCCTCCTCCCCCCTCCTCCCCATGGAACCGTCGAGGCATAACCCCAAGAACGCTGGCCAAGAACATGAGCACCTTCGCCAAAGGAAAATTCTGGTATTTAACCCCTGGAGAAACCCAAAAACTACTTCGTTCCAAGGTGGAGAGCCCAAACAAAAAGAATATCGTGGCAGTCCTCCAGACCTAGGGCTGCTCTGAACCCTCATACCAGCCGTAGGAAGAGGAGGAGAAGGAGGGGAAGGAGGAGAACAGGCAGGAGGAGGAGGAGGAGGACAGGAAGGAGCAGGAGGAGGAGTAGGAGGAGGAGGAGGACAGGGAGGAGGAGGAGGAGGAGGAGGAGGAGAAGGAGGAGGAGGAGGAGGCCGAGGAGGAAGACATGGAGGAGGTAGACGAGGAGGGGCAGGGCGGTTTTCCCAACCCTCGCGTCAGTCATAAGACAGCTGGGACCTGGCCCTCCTCCGCCGCCCTCGTGGGAACGACGCAGCCCAGACCCGGCGCGTGGTGGCACAGCCCGATGGCCCCCTTCGCCCGCCGCGGCGACGAGCACTCGCAGCGGACACGGAACGAAGCCATCCTTTCCGCGAGGGGCAATGATAAGAGGGGAAAGGCATGGCGGATTCTGGCAAACCTGAACCCAAAAACGTGCTCACTTCTTGGGGGGCAATGAAAAGGTGGGAACGGCATGGCGGATTCCGGAAATCCTAAACCCAAAAAACGTGCTCACTTCTTGCGGGCGGGCGCATCTTCTACGGCCGCCGCCTTCCACCGCCCTTCCGCCAGCTTCCGCCGGCGGAGGCGGCCTTGTTTGACTTCCGCCGCCCTTCCGCCGCCTTCCGCCGAGGAAGAGATGGCAACTCCTTCGACCCCTCGAAGGCAAGGCCCTTTTTGGAACGTCCCACATTGGGGGGTGGGTGCATCGACCTGGAATCGGCGATACATCGCCGATGGATCGGCGATAGGCCACCGATATCGAAGATCAGTGGGCGATTACGGGTCGATGCATACCCCCTTACGCCTATCCCCCCATATCGTTGTCCCTGATTCCATCGTGGGTCGGCGCTCGCAACTCCCGCTGAGAGATCCGACAAAAAACACGACAAGTCCGCCAGCCCCCTTGTGGGGCCACCAGGCTGTAGGCCAGAGGTTCGCAGTTTCCTGTACCAGTTGCAGCTTCCAGTTTCCACTGTTACAGTTCTGCTTCTTGCTGCTTACTGTTCCTTGTTGACTTCTTGCTGCTTACGATTCCTTGTTGATGGACCGCGCGAGGGGGGGAGGCCCAAAACGGGCATTTCTACCACGCCCAAATCGTATTGTCTGAATTGCTGGAGTGGGTAGAAACTCACACCCCTCACGCAGATCGGCGGGGTCAGGGTCTAAAAACACATGGGATTTGCCACATTTCTGAAATTCGGTGGCACCCCTCACGCAGATCGGCGGGGTCAGGGTCCAAAAACACATGGGATTTGCCACATGTTTAAAATCTGGTGGCACCCCTCACGCAGATCGGCGGGGTCAGGGTCCAAAACACACACACACACACACACACACACACACACACACACATACACACACAGGATTTGCCACATTTTTAAAATTCGGTGGCACCCCTCACGCAGATCGGCGGGGTGAGGGTCAAAAAATCAACGGGATTTGCCACATGTTTGAAATTCGGTGGCACCCCTCACGCAGATCGGCCGGGTCAGGGTCCGAAAATCCAGGAGATTTGCCACATTTCTGAAATTCGCTGGCACCCCTCATGCAGTTCGGCGGGGTCAGGGTGCACAAACACACAGAATTTGCTACATTTCTGAAATTCTATGGCACCCCTCACGCAGATCGGCGGGGTCAGGGTCCGAAAACCCAAGGGATGTGCCACAGTTCTGAAATCCGGCGGCACCCCCCACGCAGATCGGCGGGGTCAGGGTCCAAAAACACAAGGGATTTGCTACATGTCTGAAATTCGGCGGCACCCCTCACGCAGATCCGTAGGGTCAGGGTCGAAAAACAAACAGGTCCCGACACTGCTTCACGGCGAAGCCAAAGCCTCATGACTTCGCTCTTCCATTGCCCATTCTCCGAGAGAGGGGGCCGGCGGCAGGGGGCGAAGCCCTCATGGATATGATAGCTACAGCAAACGATGACATTCACGACATCATCCTGCGACGCAAAGGAAAGCGAAACCAGTCGCATAGTAACGTGAGTGGCGCTCGTGACTAAAACAACATCGTTTGCACTTATATGTCAGAGTGAGGGGGCCGAACGGTCATTCATTGTCCCTGGATGCGTGGCTGAAGTGGGGATCCGTGGTGAAGATTATGCTTGTTGCGGTGTTGTCGTTGCTGCTTGTTTTCGTCGTCCCACCCGCGACCCACCCGCGACCCACCCCGCCACCCACCCGCGACCCCACCCGCGACCCACCCCGCGACCCACCCCGCGACCCCATCCGCGACCCACCCGCGACCCACCCGCGACCCACCCGCGATCCACTTGCGACCCACCCCGCGACCCACCCCGCGACCCACCCGCGACCCACCCCGCGACCCACCCGCGACCCACCCGCGACCCACCCGCGACCCACCCGCGACCCAATTGCGACCCACCCGCGACCCACCCGCGACCTACCCACAGTGGTTTAACGAAAGAAATCGGCGCCTGCGGCGGGCTCGTTGCATAATTTGTAAAACTTCGGCGCCTGCGGCGGGCTTCTCTGGAGTATCGCAAACTGCCAACGTCCCCACCGCCCCTCACTCTTATCCGCATCTGCGGGGTGCTACGTAATTAAGCCCCTAGGCCTGAACCATAATCTCAGCGGCGCGACCTCGCCGCTGCCCACCTCGGGAAGAGGACGCGAATGCAGTCCTGGCCAAGTGAGCCGCCGACTCAGGAGGGGCCCACAATGCCATCCGACAGTGGCATCCAAGAGGGCCCTCTGGATGCTACTGTCGGGGGGCCAAACGGAGCCCCCTAAACCAACCCCCCCAAACGGCCCCCGAGCCTCCAACACAGATCTGGCGGGCTCCAAGAGAGCCGTCTCAGGGCCGGTGCTCCAAGACGGGTTCCAGTGAGCTCCTGGTCCAACTCCGCCTGGCGGATGCGGAAGCGATGACTTCTTGTGCCCTGTTCTGGGTCAGTCGGAGCCGCCAGCAGGACAGCCCTGGAGGGCGCCGGGAATACCCCAAGAGTGCCCCGAGGGGACCCAAAGAGGGGTTCCACCGAGCCCCTGGCCAAGCTCTGCCTAGCGGAATCAGAAGCGATGATTTCTCGTTCCCTCTTGGGGGCCGCTCGGAGCTCAATAACGGCCCCAAGGGCCTCATGATGACCCGCTCAGGACCGCGAGAGGGCCTTAAGAAAGGCCCCAGCGAATCCCTGGCCCAACTCCGCCTGACGGAAATTGAACCAATGATCTGTAGTGCCCTTATGGGGGGCCGCCCGAAGCCCCACTGGCAGGTCTAGTCGTAACCACAAGACACCCCGAATCGACCCTCTCCCTTATCCTCCTCCCTCCCCTGCCTGCCTCCGCTCTCCCGCGCCGCTTCCCCGTCCTCTGCGCCAGCGGCACAGCGCCATTCACGGCCCAAGGGCGCTGGTGACTGCACCGGCGCAGGCACCCGACGAAAACCGCCACGAAAATTGACGTCGAAAAAAAAATGCCCCCGCCTACACAGAAGCAGCTATGCCGGACGAAAAAATTGTCGCCGCGATTTTCGTTCCAAGCCCGGGGGGGCGAACGGTTTTTCGCCCGGCGGCCCGCCACGGCGACGAAGAAGAAATAGTCGATCCATTTGTCGTCGGTCCACCCCGCAAGGATTTCGGCACGCGTGCGCGACGATGCGCGCGTGCGCACTTCGCCCCATGTACTACAAATTAACATTAAAGTCCTATGATGACTGATCAACGTTGGTGCGCGCATACAGTTTTTTGCAGAGGATGTGGGGGGACGCCGGTTCGGTTGGGATGAAATAATTTTATCTTTAGGATGGACGATGGGGCAGAATCATGCGTAAATTGCACATCTCCTGGGGGGCCCGATAACTCTGGGGGGGCGGAGGCAGATCCGAATACTGGTGTAGAAAACAGAACATACGCGGTGCTATCTATGCGGCGCAATGTTTTTTCTAAACGAACGAGTTGGCAAATTATATGCCCGTGCAAACATCCCACCAAACCCACCCGAAGCTTGGTTTGCAAAACCCATGCGGCGACACATGCGGCGGCGATTGCGATGAGTGCTTGGCGTTGGCTGGTGCGTCTCTGCGGCTGCGCAAGCCCGCGCATGCTCGCGCGCACCGCGGCCAGCTAGTTTGGCGCGACCGATGCGGCCGCGGTGGCGCTGACCACTGGGCACTTCCCAGCTGGCATTTCAATACGAGTCTGGGACTTGGGCGGGCGCGGTATCATGGCGACACCGACAACGGTAGACACGATTATGGGAGTAGCGATGATGGTAACGATGGTGGCGATGACGACTGCAACGCCGATGACGGCGCCGATGTTGATCACGCCCGCCAATAACGATGGCTGTGTCCTCGTGTCGGCGATGAAAGGTTTTGAGGGAGTTCGACATGCGCGCGCGGCCGACGCGCGCGAGTGGCCCGCGTGGTATTACTTGACACGGATCGTGCCCCCCCCCAGCACGCGCGAAAGGGCGCTCGAATGAGTTCGACATCCAGCGCGAGAGGCCCGTTTCGCAGAATATTGTGCAATTGTTGCAGGGCCAATGGTTCTAAGAATCCGCAAAGACCGCGAGCGCAAGATTGTTTGAAAGCTGGTGTTGCAAAAGCATGTTTTGTTTTAATGCTTTCGGGGCATTCGTTTTTGGATTCCTTGAGAAGACCACGGTACTTGAGGGATTTCGGTATGCGCGCGCGACAACGCGCGAGTGTACACGTCGTGACATATTTTGCAAGGAATCATTGCGACAGCACGCGCGCAAGGGCGTTCGAGCGATTTCGACATGCGCGCGAGGGGCCCGTTTGATAGCATGTTTTGCAAATGCTAAAAAAAACGATTGTTGTCTTAAGAATTCACAAGGACGCTGGCGCAGGTTTTGTTTGACAGTTCTTGTTTCGAAACCATATGTGTTTACATGTTTTCGTGGCTCTCGATTTTGAAATCCGTTCGAAGCCTACGGTGTTGAAAGGATTTCGACATGCGCGCGCGACGACGCGCACGCACTCTTTGTCCCATGTGTTGCAAGGGGTTCTAGAAAACTGCTGATGTTTTAATGAACCAGTGCGCGCGCATGGTACTTTTTGTTATGGGCAGAAGTCATATGTCAAATGCACTACCCAGCGGTGGACCGTCAACCCTGGGCATTCTCCTTCAGCAAGGAGAATCCGTTGGAGGCGGCGGCGAAGCCGCGACGGGGCGGCGACGGCGAGCACGAAGCTACCAGCCCGACACGCAGGCCGAGACGATGTGCGGCGACGAAGCGGCGACGGGGCGGCGATGGTGGTTACACAGCCGCCAGACCGGCACGCAGGCCCACACGACGGGCGGCGACAAGGCGGCGACGGGGCGGCCACAGCTACATAGCTGCCAAACCAACACGCAGGCCCAATTCTTTCGAAAACACTTGAGAGCCCTTGAGTGCAAGCGCTGTTTAGCGAACATGTACGTATCTACACAACTACTGTAACATACATATGTACATACACATCCGTAACAAAACCTAAATGTACACGTGCGATTATATATATATATATACAAGCATGAACCTACCAGCACATATGTGGTGCGTTCGCTGTGATTACACATGTATGTGTGTGACTGGGTATGAATATGTAGATATACATATGTGAGCAAGCCGACGCTATGCTTTACGTAAACGAGTTTACCCGTATGTTCTGAAATCTCTCGATGCATATATGTATATCCATCCGTGTTCCTCTGTCACTACCCTCAGACAGCAACGGCCCACCCAGCACTCCCCATGGCGCTCTGCCCGGTGATGTTGGCGGCCGTCGTGGTCGTTGCCTGGGCAATCTTTCTCGTTCCTTCTCCTTCCTGTCTCCTTGTCACCTTTGACTGCAACCCTGGGTGGAGAGGGGAGGGGAAAGTAGGGAAGGAGATCACTGACGCGACGCCACTGATCGCCTCACAAACGTGAGCGGGCGAACTCTGCCTGGAATCCCCTCCGCCTTCCTACATGCCCCGCTTCCCCGTACAGCTCTGTTAACCCCATGGCTATCTTCACTCGCCTCTAAGGTGCGGTCCAAGCGGGGAGGAGTCAAGGAGTTTCCCCGTCCGCTTCCAGCTCGTGATCCAGCATATGCTCTCCGGCATTTCCTAGCAAATGCTCGCCAGCACCCCCAGCGCTGAACAGACGAGGATCCGCTTTCCACCCCACCGTATGAATTCCACCAGCCCTAAGGGCGGTCGGTGGTCTAGGACGGTTTCCCAGGCTCCTCTCTCCACCCCTTGCAACCCTTGGGGGGCAGGTTCACCCCGCCACCGTTCCGCAAGCACTGAGTGGAGCGCAGTCAGCGCCGCAGTGCCTGAACAGTTGGCCTTCGTTGCTGCATGTTTCAACGCGCAAGACCCCGAACCCAGAGGATGCCCAGGCTCTGTCGGAAGCTCTCAAGCGGAATTAGCTGCGTAACCTCTCCCGAGGCTCCAGAAGCGCGTGGAGATCCAAACTTCCAACATGCCCTCATACGGGGACCTCTTGGAGCGTCTTGGAAGCCTTGAGAACCAGCCCAAAGAGGAGGGAGGAGGAGTGAAGGAGAGAGAGGAGGATTGAGAGGAGGAAAGAGGGAGGAGGACCGAGGATCGCCAGGAGAGACGCGCGGTCGTCGCCGTAATCTTCGTCGTCGTGGTGGTGGTGGTCGTTGTCGTCGCCGTCGTTGTCAGAAATGGTGGTCTTCGTCGTCGTCGTCGTCGGGCGGCCCATCGCCGGGTGGGACGTGGTCGTCCGCGAGGTCGTCGCGGTGGCCGGGGCTTCGACCAGCGGCTCGGCCGCGTGACCCGCGGGGCGGGCGAGGGGCTCGGCCTGTCAGGGGTGCGGTTCGCGTGTCAGGGGGGAGGCGTATGGCGTATGCAGGAAAGGGGGGGGGAGGAGGAGAAGGGAGGAGGAGGGAGGGAGGAGGCAGGGAGGGAGGAGGGAGGAAGGAGGAGGAGGAGAAGGAGAAGAAGGGGAGGGACGAGGGAGGAAGAGGAGGGAGGAAGGGGGAGAGGCACGAGGAGGAGGTGGAGGCGGAGAAGGAGGAGAAGACGGAGGAGGAAGGAGCGAGGCGGGAGGAGGACGGGGAGGAGGAGGACGACGACGAGCAGGAGGGAGGGAGGAGGAGAAGCCGGTCAGGAGGAGGGAGGAGAGGAGGCGGAAGGAGGAGGAAGAGGAGGAGGAGAAGAAGAAGAAGACGAAGGAGAGGAAGAGGAGGACGAGGAGGAAGAGAAGGAGGAGGAGGGGGAGGAGAGGGAGGAGGCGGAAGGAGCAGGGGGGGAGGAGGAGGAGGAGAGAGGAGGGGGAGGGAGGAGGGGGGGGAGGGAGGAGGGGGAGGAAGGGAGGAGGGGGAGGAGAAGGAGGAGGAGGAGGAAAGGGAGGAGGGGGAGGAGAAGGAGGAGGAGGAGGAGGAGGAGGAGGAGGAGGAGGAGGAGGAGGAGGAGAGAGGAGGACAGAGGCGGGAGGAGGAGGAGGAGGAGGAGCGGGAGGGAGGGAGGGAAGGAGAGGGGGACCAGAAGGATGGAGAAGCCGGTCAAGAGGAGGAGGAGGAGGAGGAGGAGGAGGAGGAGGAGGAGGAGGAGGGGGGGGAGGGAGAAATCGGCAAGAAACAAAAAAGGAGGGAGTAGTCGGTCAGGAGGAGGAGCGGGCGGAGTAGGAGTGAAAAACATAGGGCGATGATGCGGAGGAGGTGGAGGTCGACGACGACTGAGACGACAGCGGGGCGACCTAACGTGAGATGACGACGACAACGGCGGCAACACGCATGGCTCAATTGTTGTTCTGTCCTGAGGAGGGCGTCACTCTCGAATCATCATCACCATCACCATCACCATCACCATAAACATCATCATCGTCATCATCAGCAGCAGCATCAGCATCAGCATCAGCATCATAATCATGCTCAGCATCATCATCATCGTCATCATCATCATCAGCCGCATCATCATCGTCGTCATCATCGTCATCGTCATCATTATCAACATAATAATCAGATTCATCGTCATTGTCATCATCATCAGCCTCACCAACATCATCATCATAGACATCAGCATCACCTTCAACAACATCATCATCATTATCAGTGGCGTCCGTACCATCACCAACGTCATATTCACCCGATTCCTCAACATTAGCATCATCATCATCACCGTCATCATCACCATCATCTTCATCACCACCATCACCACCAGCATCATCATCACCACCAGCATCGTCCTGATCACCATCATCATCATCGTCATCATCATCTTCGTCACCATAATCATAACAGCATCGTCGTCATTATTATGATCCTTATCATCATCCTCATCACCACCATCACCACCAGCATCATCATCGTCATCCCCATCAGCAACAACATAATCACCATCATCCTCTTCATCACTATCATCACAACCATTATGATCATCATCAGTATCATCGTCGTCATCATCACCGGCATCATCATCAGTATCATCATCATCACAGACATCAGCAGCATCATGATCATCACAATCAGCATCATTATCGTCAACATCATTATCATCACCAGCATCATCATCATCATCCACATCATCATCGTCATCGTCGTCGTCGCCATTATCATCACCGACATGAATCATCAACAGCATCATCATACTCATCATCAGCATCATCAGTATCAACATCACCCTCATCATCATCAGCATCATCATCACCATCAGCGCCATCATCATGACCATCATCATCACCATCATCAGAATCGTCAGCATCAGCATCATCACCAGCATCATCAGCATGAGCATCAGCATCAACCTCATCATCATCATCATCATCAGCAGCAGCATCCGAATCATCATCAGCATCATCATCGGCATCGTCATCATGTTCATTGTCATCATCAGCATCATCATCACCATCATCACCATCATCTCCATCATCATCATCAGCATCGTCATAATTAGCAGCATCAACAGCAGCACCAGCATCATCATCAACATCATCAGAAGCAGAATCATCAGCAAGAGCATCATCAGATAACCATGATGAACATTAGCAGCAGCATCATCATCGTCATCGTCGATGTCGTCGTCGTCAGCATCATCGTTTTCGTCGTCGCTGTGGCCGTCGTCGCCGTCCTCCTCGTCGTCGACTTCGTCGTAGTCGTCGAAATCATCATCATCATCATCATCATCATCATCATCATCATCATCATCATCATCATCATCATCATCATCCTGATCATCATCGTCATCATCATCATCATCATCGTCAACATCATCACCGTAATCATCATCATCATCATCATCATCATCATCATCATCATCATCATCATCATCATCATCATCACCATCACCATCACTGTCACCGCCACTCGTCACAATTATATCCTCCTCCGCCGTTCCTCAGTTCCTCCGGTCCTCTTCCTCATTGTCCGAAGCCTCATCGTCACCCTCACAGTAAACATCGACGTCACCATCATCATCCTCATCATCGTCAGCAGCAGCACAATTATCATCATCATCATCATCATCATCATCAGCCGCATCAGCATCAGCATCATCACCATCACCATCACCATGACTGCCACTCATCACAATTATATCCTCCTCTGCGGTTCCTCAGTTCCTCTGGTCCTCTTCCTCATTGTCCGAAGCCTCATCATCACCCTGACAGTAACCATCGACGTCACCATCATCCTCATCATCATCAGCATCAGCAGCTCAACCATCATCATCACCACCTCCATCATCATCATCAGCAGCATACTAACCATCATCATCATCATCAGCAGCATCAGCATCATCAACATCATCAGCAACAGCAATGCAATCATCATAGTCATGTTCAGAACCGTCGTCGAAGACATTATCACCATTGCCTGTACGTCCATCATGATTTGTTGTCCTGCGTCTGGTACTCCTCTCCCCCCTTCTCTTCTCCGTCATCCTCCTCAGGCTCCCGGCAGCAGGTGCCAGACGCCCCTCATCAGTTCCTGTCAGCGTTCCCCTGCGAGGCGGCGGGGGCGCGAGCCCCTCTACACCTGATTCCCATGCTCCGCGTACGGCAACGTCTGCTGAGCACAGCGCGCACGCCGCCATCGTGGCGCGGCTAGCCGCGGGCGCCCACGGCCAGACGAGAGAAGCGAACGGCGGCCTGGCACCTACTGGGAGGTCCCATTCGGAAGGTTTAAGGAGGATTAAGCCCCATTGGGGGGCTGTTACGCCGGACTGGGCCTCGGATCAAGCGGGATCAAGCCGGATTAAGCGGGATTAAGTGGGATTCAGCTGGATCGAGCGGGAGTAAGCTGGATTTCGGGCCAGGGCAACATGAGAATTTGACCTCCCAGGAGTTGCATCCGAATGATGCGTCCACACACCCTGGACACGCCCTGGGTGTTCAACTACAGACTTCCCCGAGCGCACGGCATGCCGATCGCTTGGGGGGTGCGAAAGGTGCCCCTGGTCCAAGGTGCCCCCAGCCTCCCGCTCCATTCTAGAGCCCCCAGGGCCCTCTGGGCCTCGTAAGTGGCGCTCTCTCCTCCTCCTCCTCCTCCGCCTCCTCCTCCTCCTCCTCCTCCGCCTCCTCCTCCGCCTCCGCCTCCGCCTCTTCCTCCGCCTCCGCCTCCGCCTCCGCCTCCTCCTCCTCCTCCCTCTCCTCCTCCTCCTCCTCCTCATCCCTCCTCCTCTCATCATCATCATCATCATATCAGCAGCAGCAGCTCATCATCACCATCATCATCATCATCATCATCAGCATCATCATCATCATCCTCATCATCAGCATCGTCGTCGTCGTCTCATCATCATCATCATCATCATCATCATCATCATCATCATCATCATCATCATCATCATCATCATCATCATCATCATCATCATCATCATCATCATCACATCATCATCCATCCCCCCTCCTCCTCCTCCTCCTCCTCCTCCTCCTCCTCCTCCTCCTCCTCCTCCTCCGTGGGGGCCTCCTTCGACATCCTGGGGGCACCTTGGGGCAGCACCCGACTCGTGTGCAGAGCAAGGAGAGCAGCAGCCAGAGGCGCCTCATGGTGTCGCACGTCGGCCGGAGGGCAGAGACGTGCAGGAAAAGGCGCGGCAGGCGTGGAAAGGGAGCCAGGCCAGGTCGTGACAGAGGAGCAACTCGAAGCTTGCCGTCGCTCGGATGTCCATGTCCCGTGCATGCTTCGGTTTCGCGCGTGTCTCGATGACCCAGGATGCTCTTCGATGGTCCTCGCCGAAAAAAGCACACGTTCGAGCGATGCCCAGGACGTGGACAAGAGCCCAAATCAAAGGCTGACATCGCCGATGCTGAACCAGAACCAATTGCCAGACCAAGACGGCGCTCCAGTCGTCCGAGGGCCAGGTCACCATTAGTCACATTCGCAGATAGAGATGGATCCCGCCAGCCCTCTTGGCGTGAGTGGTTTAGCGAGTGTCCTCTTCCATCTGCCCTCGTCCCCTTCGAAGAAGGGTTTACCCCTCCCCCATACCCCTTCCCCCACGTCTGGAGGAGGGGGTCGCGACCGACCGGAGCGTCCAAGACTGGGCGGGCTGCGATATACTCCCCCCCTCCTTGCTTGATCGATCTCCTCCAGACTGGACCCAAGATAGCCTCTGTGAATCCCAAGTGCCCCCCTAAGAGGGTGACAAGAGACGCCCAGGGCCAACGAGGCCCCCAAGAGGTCCCCAAGAGGCTCCCAAGAGACTCCAAAGAGGCCCCAAGAGGCTCCCGCGAGGCACCCAAGACGCTCCCAGAAGCCCCCAGGACCGCCAAGAGGCCCTCAAGACGCTCCAAGAGGACTCTAAGCAAGAGGCCCCTGGCCTTTCTGCTCGCACTCCTCCTCCTCCTCCTCCTCCTCCTCCTCCTTCTCCTCCTCCTCCTCCTCCTCCTCCTCCGCAGCAGCATCATATCATCAGCAGAATCCTCATCATCAACACCAGATTCATCGTAAGCACCAGCATCATCATCATCATCATCATCATCATCATCATCATCATCATCATCATCATCATCATCATCATCATCATCATCATCATCATCATCATCATCGTCATCGTCATCGTCATCGTCATCGTCATCGTCATCGTCATCGTCATCGTCATCGTCATCGTCATCGTCATCGTCAGCAGCATCAGCATCATCATCATCATCATCATCATCATCATCATCATCATCATCATCATCATCATCATCATCCTCATCATCATCATCATATTCAACAACAGTGTTAGCATCATCATCACCATCCTCATCTGCAGAAGCATCATAATCATCATCATTATCATCAGCATCATCATAGTCAGGAGGAGGAGGAGGAGGAGGAGGAGGAGGAGGAGGAGGGAGGGAGGGAGGGAGGAGGGAGAAGGGAGGAGGAGGGAGGAGGAGGAGGGGCGAGGAAGAGGAGGGAGGGAGGAGGAGGAGGGGCGAGGAGGAGGAGGGGCGAGGATCGGGCACCGCCCAGGTTTGGAGGTCCCTCTCGGCCTCTCTGTGGACGGACCTCGTGGGGAGCGAGCGGTGCACGGCCACTGCTCCCTTGCGCCCGCAGCCAGGCGGCACGGGCGCCCCCAAGCCCGTTCCGTCCCACCGCCGCGGGAGAGGAGACGGCCTCGAGGCCTCCTGGATGAGGTCCGAGTAGGTGGGGTCGGAGGATCGCGCCGCATCGGCGATGCATCGGCGATGCATCGGCGATGCACCGGCGATGCATCGTGGACGTGGGCGATGCGTCGGCGACGTCGGCGTGGAGAAAATCGGGCTCCAAATCGAGGCGCATCGGCGATGCGTCGCGATCCTCCGACCCCGTCTGCTCCGACCCCGTCTAGGAGGCCCAGACGGCCCCAACAGGGCGGGGTAGGAACAGCGGCGGGCCCTACCCGCCAGGGCGACCAACGCCCGAGGGCGGCCCAACATCCGAAGCACAAGCTTCGGGACGAAGCCAGGGCGAGGGCAACATCGGGTGAGGGGAGATCGAACCGGACTTTTTTGGTCTGCGGGTCGAGAGCGGGCCTCTTCCGGTTAAGAGCTAGGCGGGGCGCGCAAAGCAGTAATTGGGGAGACAGGGCGCGGGCGGGCTGGGCCTCAGGGAAATCGAACCAGAACCTCGAAGGTCGGAATCCTCGGAAGTCCGAATCGGGTCAGACCGGGCCCGCCGTGTCATCGATACCGAACCGCGTCCATGGGACCGAAAGTGACCGTAGGGGGAGGACGGCGGGCAAAGTTACCAATGTGGGACGCTTGGATGCGGTGATGCTGCGAGGTCGGGGAGGAGGTGTAGCCAAGAAGCAGACGATCCGTCGTGGGGAGCTGACTGCTATCATGACGGCTATGGAAGATCGTATTGTCTGGGCTCAAGGGTCACATTTGTCACTGATTCTTGTCATGTTGTCAAAAGGTGTTGCTAAATTGATCCGCCGGCCCCCTTGTGGGGCCACCAGGCTGTAGGGCGAAGGTTCGCAGTTTCCTGTACCAGTTGCAGCTTCCAGTTTCCAATGTTACAGTTCTGCTTCTTGCTGCTTATTTCCACTGTTACAGTTCTGCTTCTTGCTGCTTACTGTTCCTTGTTGATGGACCGCGCGAGGGGGGGAGGCCCAAAACGGGCATTTCTACCACGCCCTGAGCGTGTGCTCTGAATTGCTGGGGTGACACCCCTCACGCAGATCGGCGGGGTCAGGGTCCAAAAACACATGGGATTTGCCACATGTCTGAAACTCGGTGGCACCCCTCACGCAGATCGGCGGGGTCAGGGTCCAAAAACACAAGGGATTCGCCATGTGTCTGAAATTCGGTGGCACCCCTCACGCAGATCGGCGGGGTCAGGGTTCAAAAACACATGGGATTTGCCACATGTCTGAAATTCGATGGCACCCCGCAGATCGGCGGGGTCAGGGTCCAAAAAGATACGGGATTTGCCACATGTCTGAAATTCGATGGCACCCCGCAGATCGGCGGGGTCAGGGTCCAAAAAGATACGGGATTTGCCACATGTCTGAAAGTCGGTGGCACCCCTCACGCAGATTGGCGGGGTCAGGGTCCAAAAACACATTGGATTTGCCACATTTCTGAAAGTCGGTGGCACCCCTCACGCAGATCAGCAGGGTCAGGGTCAAAAAACACATGGGATTTGCCACATTTCTAAAATTCGGCGGCACCCCTCCGCAGATCGGCGGGGTCAGGGTCCAAAAACACAAGGGATTTGCCACATTTCTGAAATTCGCTGGCACCCCTCACGCAGATCCATAGGGTCAGGGTTCAAAAACACATGGGATTTGCCACATGTCTGAAATCCGGTGGCAGCCGTGAAGCAGATCTGTAGAGTCAGGGTCGAAAAACAAACAGGTCCCGACACTGCTTCACGGCGGCGCCCAGACCTCATGATTTAGCTTTTGCATCTCCCATTATCCAAGACAGGGGGCCGGCGGCATGGGGCGAAGCCCTTACGGATAAATGCGGGCATGCCTACGAACAACATTGATCCGTGGAAGAATCTGGGCGACAGTGTTAGAGATAAGTGGGACGTGCTACACTTGGTGAAAGTCGAGTGCCACCAGACACTTTCTGAGGCACAAAAGAAAGGTGCACCAGTAGATTATTATCTGGCCAACAAGCGACTGGTTTCTGGGCTAAGAAAGTTGCAGTGGATGGAGCTGGTGCGGACTCGGTGCAGCATGCCAGAGCCATTGGCTCGGCGGTCAGGAATCATTTGAGCTAAAGCCTTGTTTGGCGGCATTTGAAGCTGAGCCGAAGGTGCTGAGGCCTACTCGCTCGATGGCCAAGGAATGTAGAAGAAGGGTGCACATGTCTGAGCACGCGGTCTTCACTGGTATGTGTACGGCTTTCAATTGCCATCAATGCGGCTTAAGCGCTAGCGGACGTAAGCTGGAGCCTTTCTTGGAGGCGCCTTGCCTAGGCGGCCTGGTGCAGTGACGTGACCTCGGGTCGGTGACATCGGCGTGACAGTGCAAGGCGTGCCGATACATGGGTCTCACCTCTTGGGTTATTTGTCGGACTTGGAGATCCATGCGTGCCAAATTTGTGGTTGTGTGGGCAAACATTTCCTCCGAGGCTTGGCTGACCAGTGCACTGCAGTTGTTGGGCACTTCGACAAACAGTCGCTGAGCAAGCTTGCGAGGGGAATCTCCTGCCCAAGTCGAGTGTGAGATGCAGGAGCTCTGGATTTAAGGTGGCCACTACTAATGGTATGTGCACGCTGGAGGGGACGCGGAGGCGAAGGAGGAGGAGGAGGAGGAAGAAGAGGAAGGACGGCCTCAAGATGTTACCCGTGGGAGTCCAGCTCAGGTCGTCGAGGACCCCTTGGGCAAAACCGTCACGGCGCTCCCCGCCCACTGGTGGGGTGGAGCCGCGCGGGCGGGGAGGCCAGTGAGCATGGGACGCGCAGAGATGTAGTAATACTATACGTCCTCCTCGGAGGCGTGCGTCCGACCCGAACATACATACCCATCTTGTGGTGTATCGTTTCACGAGCGGCGTGGCCAGAAAACGCCAGCCACGACGCATATTCTATATAAGATTTCTCGGTGCGCGCGTCTCCCCTGGGGGGGGGCGACGCACACATAGTATTAGTATGTTGGGATGGCGCCGTGAACAGGGTGCTCCTGTCCTGGGTCTGGCCCAAGGGAGCGCCAGATCCAACGGGAATGTGTGCCAACAGGTTGGTTCGGAGCGCAAACATGAATTAGCGATCCATGGATCTGGCGCGCGGTCGCCAAATCCATGAATCGGGGGAGGTGCCCTCCCCAAAATGCAGCCGGTGCCGCCTCGCTCGGCGGCGGAAATCCGCGATTCCCAATGGAAACGAGACCCGTCGCTAATCCACGCCCCCTTGATCCATGTTTGCGACCGCCCGAGAGGCGCTCCCCACGGACCCCTGGCGCCGCCGCGCCCGTACCAGTAGCTGAGCAGGCGGGCGCGCATCCTCCTTGCCTCCCCCTCCTCTTTCGCCTCGCTGTGTAGTCAGGGGTAGCGCTGGCCCGTGGATCCCTGAATCCTCCTCCTCCTCCTCCTCCTCCCCCTCCGCCTCCGCCTCCTCCTCCTCTTCCTCCTCCTCCTCCTCCTCCTCCGGCTCCCTCCCCTCCTCCTCCTCCCTCCTCCTCCTCCTCCTCCTCCTCCTCCTCCTCCTCCTCCTCCTCCTCCTCCTCCTCTCCGCCTCATCATTCCTCCCCTCCTCCTCCTCCTCCTCCTCCTCCTCCTCACCTCCTCTCCTCATCATCATCCTCCTCATTGTCCTCACACCCATCGTCCATCTCCAGGCTCGCAGGCCCTGCTGGCCCGCCGCACATCGATGCTCCGACCAGCCTGTCAAATGGAGGGCGGCGGGGGGCCTTGGGCGCCTCTGCTGCGCCCCGCAGTGCCGCATGGCCTGGCGAGCTGGTGATCGGTTTTCACTCATTGTTTAGCCGATCGGCGCGGGCCCTCGCACCCCCCCCCTCCCCCCCCTGGAGTAGATCTTGGCTGTGTTTGGCGCCTGCTTCCAGGTGGAGTCTCCCCCATCGGGCGCCCTGTTGCAAACAGTCGCGCTAAGCAGAGGTCCAGGGCCAGACCCCACCCTCCCCTCCCCCCTCCTTCCCCCCAATGTCGAAACGCCGAATAAGAAAACGCTCACCTCCCAGACGCACCCTTCCAAGGAAGAAGTGAAAGACTCGGTCAGGGAAAATCTCGGCCAGGCGGCCGAGTTCAGCCAGGCCGCGTTCAGCTGGTCGAGTTCAGCCTGGCCAAACTGTTCCCAGCCGAGATTGGTTGCTGCCCAAGGGAAGGGCAGGAGGGGAAGGACGGACCGCACCAGAACGCACACCTTGACTGGTCCGGGGGTCGACTGTTTGACCCCTGGAGCACCTCTTGGCAGGCCAAGAGTGGGGACGGGGGAAAGAGGATTGAGGCTTTTTGCACGCTTTCCACCCATCGCCACGGCTGTGTTCCCCTCGAAGTTCTGGTCAGAATACACCCCCGGAAGGGTCGAGGATATGATTTTGACCACCAGACCCAGACCTCCTCGCATCATCAAAAAAGTTCACGACGAAAAGAATTAATGCCCATTTTCGACCTCTGGCGCCCCTCACCGGGGCATGAAGAGCTGGGCCCGGGAAAGCGGTCCAGATCTCTGGTGACCCGCGCTGTGAAAAAGCTACGGCGTCCGAGGTTTGGGGTCGTCTTGTACCGCGCTGGTGCCGCGGAGGCACCGCGCTTGCCCAGGGGCCATCCTGAGTCCCGGCACGGTGTGTACGCCCTCGTGACTGAGGCGGGAGAGCCCACAATGGAATCGACAAATCGGATCGGCGATCGAAATGAACCAGATCGGCGGAAATCGGCAGCCGAGTCGGAAAAAGTCGATTCGGCGGATATCGGCAGGCCAGTAGGCCTCAATTGAGAAACCAGAGCCCACCTCGGAATCCCAAGTCGAATCGAATCGAACTCGGCAGGCACCGAAATCGAATCGTATCGAAGGCATCGACATGAGCCCTGTGAGGCCAGGAGCGTGTGCATACCAGCCTGGGCCCAGGACGGCCCCCGTCAGGGCCAGCAGGCCCATATGACGGTCGTCACTCAAGGGCTCAAGGGGGACGCTCTTGTTAGTGACAGGACAAGCTTGTAGGGACGCATGAGGAGGAGACTTGGGACGCGAGGGTGCATTCCAGCATCGCTGATGAATCTTGGGCTTGCTCCAGTCCTCCTCCCCCCTCCTCCTCCTGTCTCCTCCTCCTCCTCCTCCTCCTCCTCCTCCTCCTCCTCCTCCTCCTCTTCCTCCTGCTCCTCCTCCTCCTCCTCCCTCCTCATCCTTCCACCCTCCCTCGTTCCTCCCTGTTGGCACGAGGGCCAGGAGACCGAATGGAAACGGGCCCTCGACCTGGTCGCTTTCCCCGCGGCCAGCTCGCCATCGAGATCGTTCTTGACGGCCCCAGAGCCCGCGAGGGCGCTGGGAGCCCAAGCACTGCCAAAAGCGTCCACGACCAATTTCCTCCAGGACCCAATCCTTGTATGTTGAGCAGGGACCGACCGTCGCAGCATTCCGATAGGCCTACCACGAAATCTTCTTAGAACAAAAAAAGTCCGAATAACGATACAATGTTCTCAGAGCGTGAAGCCGATGTGTTGAAACAAGGCGATCTCAGCGAGAATGTTC